TTTTATATTATTATCGTCATTTTCTTTGGATTTTTACAGAAGTATCTTCACTCACGGTTTCTTCTTCCGCGAAAGTGAGAGTTACCGGTTTTGCTACTTGTCGAATTCGCTACGTCCTAGTTCGCAACAAATTCGCTACATATTACTTTCTGTAAACTACTAACAATATTCCCTTAATCGTTCTGAAAAAAAAGAATTGTGCCAATTTTACAAAATGAAACACTTGGGCATTATAAAAAATGCTAATACTTTTACTATACTATATACTATACTAATCTTTTTTTTTCTGCAAGCTCCCAAATAAGGCATAAAATCAGTTGGAAATTTTAATTAATGTTCAGTATAAGGCATATTAAATTAGATAAGTCTTTGACTACTATTTTACGGAGGTATGAATAGGATAGACATAAGCAAGAATTTACCTTATAGACCCCCTTGAGTGTAGCAATGAGTTTTGCACGCAAAAGTAATATATACAAGCGAACCGGCAGAGGAAATAGTTCAATAATTGAAAATGTATAATATATATGTATATATATCATGCCTCTTTGTTTTTCTCGCATAACGTATTTGTCCTTTGGTCTGAAATTGCGAGGGAAATCAAACGCAATCAAACGACAGTCACTGCAACTGTGGAAATTCTTAACCGACAAAACGCGCGCTAGACTATCGATCGAGTTTATTTAGGTTACATCGTTTTCGCCTGGTGAAAACATCAGAAGATTATTACTGTAGAAGTTATGATGCTGATGAACGTTATTGGAGAAAGTGTCAAATTCTTTGGGAAGAAAGTCTATTTAAGAAAGCTTTATAAATCTTCCAGGAGTTATGAAAACCGGATTAACAAACATGTTGTAATTTCCCTTAAGTTTCCCTATCTAATAGCTTCTTTACTGAGTTTTTTTTTGCTGATGTCTTTTTTTCTGTTCGTTTTGTGGTTAGGATTTGTGTAGAAGTGGCTGTAGACAGAATTTTGCGAATTTCTATCTACCCTCCCCCCCCTCTTCACTCCCTCCCACTGTTTTTCTACAATTCTCTCTTCAACACAAGTGAGAGTTATTTGAAATCAGTGCGCTCCTAAAGCTGGCTTCGGTGCCGTTTGACAGTTAACATTTCGTTATTGGTCACCTTGAGAAAAGTTTCCCGGAGAGCATCATGTGAAGCTCTGGGATAAGACAAAGTTATTAGATCTTATTACGAATCGCAGAGTTTGCATCGTACAATATCGTATTCTATTTTCGTTTCATTTGGCTAAACTGATCATTCACCCTGATCCTAGCTGAGACAGAAAGGTACGATATTGTTCGCTTTTCTATGGTGACCACTAAGTCTTTGGCATCGGGAACAGGGTCTTAGGAGTCAAATGAATAATGCGAGAGCAACCGGCAATACAGGTGAACTTTGGCCCAGGCGTGACTATAGTGTGAAAACAGGTTTATGCTGGTCTGCTGACCCTGTGATTGCCCATCCGGGAACTTGAATAAGACGAAAGTACGAGAAAAGTTCAGAGAAGTTTATCTGCCAATAGGCTGAGTTTTTCCGAGATATTCGATAAGATTTCGCCTGTGTTAAACGTCAGAAGATTATGCGTGGTTGAAAGTGTGTTGCGTGATTTCCGCATGGTGTTGACAGGTATGTGGTTGCGTGTGCCAGCCATAAAAACGTTTCTTTTGCGTTTAGGTTTGCTGATTGAGGAAGTGTGTATATGAGAAAACTCGCACCGCCGCTAGTTTCATACCGACTTTTTGATTTCGTATCGCGTTTACATGATGACTTGGTCATTTCATATCTCGTTATTTGAAGGTACACTTCATGTTGATAAAATAAATATGAGAAGCAAAATCGCAAACATTACGCATGCGCTACCCGTTCCAGTCTACCAACAGACCGATTTCACACCGATACGAGTGGTCGTTTCTCGTTTACATGCGTGATACCGTTGCGAGATTTCGTACCAGAGTGAAATTCTTGCCCCGGTTCAACAAACAAGGTGAACTCACGCCGAAGTGACTCGCCCGGCATGACATTTTGTGCGGTATCGTGTAAACAGATATAGAGCCATGAGAGGGAACTGGAGTGAACTCGGGCCGGCGCGAAAGTCGCCCCAGTGTCATGTAAACACCCCCTCAGACTAGTACAATGGAAAAGCTACTCTAGACTCAGGAAAATTGAATCTTGGTCTTGTTTCAGCAGGCTCTGATGGCTTTGAACCAAGAGGCCGCGCCGGTTTTTACAGATAAGGAGGTGATAATTTGTGTACTATGTTTCATGCAGTTTGTTGTCTATTCCATGCGAAACCCTGTCGTTTATCGAACCGCGAAAAAGTAGTGTTTTGCTAACTATTTAAGTTGTTATGTAAGCCTTAACCAGGCACTCTTCGCTGCAGTTCACTCAACTTTAAAATTTTCCGGAATGAAAATGAAACCAGTTTGAAACTTCACTGAGTGGGGTTACTGAATAAATGTTCTAAAATTTGCGTCATTTTAAACTTGGACTCGTTGAAATGCCTCTAGTAACAACTAACTTAATTACCGCCCGGCGTCATATAAAGGCTTTTTTAAATCGGCCTTTGAATGAATTGAATGAGTTGATTTTTTTGCTATAAATGACCCATTATTGACTTGGCGCGATAATGGGTTTTATGATGAGGCGGGGCATTATCTTATTTTACGGTGCAAGCTGCAGGGGTTGATAGTCAAGATAACGATAGCTGGCTAGACACCACACATCTATAAATTCGTGAGCTTCGCTAACGCTCGCCCTTTTTTCTGCCAACGCCGATCGTGAGCTGTTTAGCTTTTCAACAGTGAATTTATTTCTTTCTCCGACAAGCCCACAAACAATCAGGCAAGTGCAATTCTCCCCCGTCCCCTGTTTGTTTTTTGTAGTCAGGTAGCTTTATATTTTATTTTATTTTTTTCCGTTCTTGTTGGGGTGCCCTAGCTGAGGACTCTGTTGGATTTTCCTTAGCGCCCGCTAATTTTCCTAAAATTTTCTTCAACCTCATGGCTAAACAGCGCGTATTAATAATCGGGAACTCCTTCGTTCATTTTCTTAAGGCGTTTGTTCAGAAAAAGAGGCACATGCAGGCTTTTAGCAGCCTTAGTGGTATAGCAGTTATTTATTTTCATGGAGTTGGCGTCCGCACGGGCCCGAGACCAGGTGTTACGAAAACTAAGACCCTCGAAAACTAAGACCTGAGACCCATCTCAGTTTTCGAGATTACGATAACTAAGAACCCCTAAAATCAGATCCGTCGAAATATGAAGTCAAATTGTACTCGAAATAGGCCTAATCTGTCATGAATTATCTTCTGTGTGATTCTGTCCACCGAGTTTTAGGTCGAATTTAACGGTAGATTAAGGAGTCTTAGTTTTCGTAATTTCGAAAACAAAGACCCCTCTTAGTTTTCGTTATTACGAAAATTAAGACCCCCTTAAAAAACAATCCATAAAATATATATAAAGTCGAATTATGACCGCTCAAAGAATATAATCCGTAAAACAACCGAAAACTATCATCCGCGTGCCGACGATCCGCTTCTTCTAATTATTTGCAGAAAACAGAGCATGAAAGCCATTACCTGTGTATAATTGTACACTGAGAATATGCCTACCCCGCGGATTGGTCTCTAATTTTAGTTGTTTATCCTTAAAGATCGTAAAATTGGCTTTCCACTGACATGCTGCTGCGACCCTGACGGCGTTACCTGAATATATCATAATCGCTTCCGATTGTCAAGTGGTTAAATATCGGTTAAAAAAATAACACAGAAATACTGGGTTTTTATCCCTTTTTTGGCCAGGTCATAGCGATAAAAATGCTTTCTCGAAAAGGGCGAATAAAAGATGTATATACTACATTGCGTTTTTTAAGAGTTTATTTTTATCGCTGCCACCCGGAGATCACCGGAAACAAAAGTTACAATGTAACAGTCCATCAGCTAAGAGCCGAAAATTTGGGTTTATGACTCAGTCGAGGGGAACAGTCGAAACATGTCACATATTAACCTTTGACTAGTAAGCATGACAAAAATGCATGATAGCAAGTTAGGGGGTCTTAGTTTTCGTAATCTCGAAAACTAAGACGGGTCTTAGATCTTAGGTCTTAGTTTTCGCCCGAGACCATGTGTTACAAAAAAAAATCGTTTTAAAATTCAAATCCTTTGTAATGCGGACAACAAATAACTTGTTCAGAAAAGTACATAATTGCACACATTTTAAGAAGTGATTTAATCAGTTTGAACAAAAATGTAATATTTTGGAGATTTTTCATTGTTTTCAATATTTTGAACGTTTTCGTTCGATGAAGAAATGGCAAATTTCAAAGCCCAAAATCGTCGACTGGTACCCCGATTTCAGTAAAGAGTCTTATACCAAGTTAAAGAGTGTTATCTCTTCTTTCAAAATCTGTTTTCAAAATTATGAGCAACTTAAAAGAAAAATTTTGAGGCCAAAAAATACAAGTAGTACTTTTCAGAAATTTGAGCTTTCCATACTCAGCGGGCCGATGCTAAAAAGTCGGAAAAATACAATAAGAAATCAGTTTGAGCAACAGTGGTTTAACGTTATCAGCTATCAGAAACCACCACGTGTTTATCGAACGCTCTGATAAAATTTAAAGCCGTTTTCAGACAAGAAAAGCAGAGTTTAGCCATCGTCTGCTACCAAACGCACTAGTCACGTAAGGTTGTCAAAGGTCTGTTACGGCCCATCGTCGCACTCGAGTAGTCAAAAGGGCTACTACAGGTAGCAACCAATCAGAGCGGAGCAGAAATTTTTTCAACCAATCAGAATCGCGCATTTAGGTCAGGTGACCCCATTGACGTCACAACTGCCCATATTTGGGCATGGTTGTTCACGTGACCCCATGGGATAAAGAACACACGCACACAAGAGTTAGATCCACATTTTTCACATAGTTTTAATCAACACATCGCGAGTGGAGCCTGGATGACAAGCGGGACGTATGTGACGCCCAAGTGACGTCACGCCCATTTTTTACAAATCTAACAGGAGGTCGAGTTCGTCCCCAATCCTTTCATAGCCATAGGGATGACTGGATCGGGTGGCTACATCGATGACGCGCTTGTCAAACACCAACCGATACTGCTTTACGCGTGGAACCACTTGAATTTGTTTCTTTTCTAAATCTCGTTTGAAATAATGAGGGTAGGTAATGTTCAAATTTCGGCGAGAGTCCTGTGACGAGTCTAATTCTGAGAGAATGTTCTCTTTCATGGTCTGAAAATTGAAAATGGCTGACCCACGTACGTTCAAGGTGAAACCGCGTACCTTGCACACCACTTTGCCTCCACGGGTTTGGTACCCATAATTCTTGGCGCCCCCCGAAACAAACTCGGTGATGACGTCTCCGTCTAATTCATCCGTCATGTCCCCCAAAAAATCCCCGGTGGCAATGCTGGGTTGACCGGGACGCCACTTGTACACCATACTGTCTGTATCGTAGTAAAGGACTTGCTGTTGAAGGGTGTCCAGGGACTCGTAGAGCTTCAATCGAGCATGACAGGTGGTGAAAGCGGCTACAAAGATATTGGTCTTGGTGCCTTTGACAGCATTGTCTTGGACACAGGTGTAGACAGCTTCCAAGATATCGTCAGTGCAAAGGCGGAGCGTACTGAGATCGAGGGCAGCATCGGAGATGAGGTTGAACAAATAGGCGGGGTCTTTGACGGTGACGGTGGTGGGTTTGTTGATCCGCTCCCCGAATTTGCCCCAGAAACTGTTCAGCATGAGCTTGGCCGTGGCCTTGCGACCGGGGTTTTTGGCAATGCTGGCAATGTCCAGTCGGATTCCTTCCCGTTCCTGGTAGCGAAGAATGTAGTCTCGTTTCTGCTCGAGGGTCTGACACCAGCCGGGCCACCCCGCTGATTCTTGTTTCAACTTGAGCCAGGTGTTCACGTAATTGGCAAAAAGACCCGTTTGGCGTTGCTCGGGGGGAAAATGCCAGACTTCATGGATCTTGATCAGCGTGTACCCCTTTTCGACGGCTTTGACCAGTTCGGGCGTGCACCAGGTTCCGCGTAGCGTGCGATCCTCGTCAGAATGAGGGCAATAACGGGTTCGGGTCAACATGGGTTGGGCCTGCTCTGTCTGGACACAGGCACGGCAGAGAGGAAAGGTGAGTTTGTTCCCGCTACGCACAGGCAAGACGGGGTGGAACAATCCAGCCGGAGGAAGAATATCCACGGTGGCTACACCAAAATAGGACTCCAGGGACTGGTCGGCAGGCTGAGTGATGATGTTTGGATGCCCAATGGGGTAAGGGCAGTTTTTGTTGACCCATGGGTACAGGGAGGTCACATCCACATAGCGTATTTCCTCGCCCTCTCCAGCCACGGCATGCAGAGCCACTGCACCGGTTCGACCCCCAAAGAAGGCTTCACGGGGTTCCAGGGGTGCAACCAGATCAAAGGAAGTCAGGAAACGTTGAACGGCTTCATCCGTGTCCACCAATTTGTCCCATTCACATTCCCACATTTCGATCACCGTGTAGCCTGCTCGGAGCAGTGCCATGCGTTTGGAGAGCGTGGCTTGATAGAGTTCCTCGACGCTTCTGTCCGGCACGGCATAATGTTTGACGTTTCTCATGGGATAACAGCGGAGACAGCCATGGTAGAGACATCCATGAAACTCGTAGACGGTGCGAGTCAGGGGATCGTAGCCATCGACAAAATGACTGTGGGCGCCCGTTCGGATAGACTGTTCGCCCCCGTTGCGAACGTGTCGAATGCGGTCAGCACTAGCCCCCTCTTTGGGAATGAGGTGTTCCTGGTAGTAGAGCCATTGCAGGGCTTTGAGGGATTGGTTGACTTGGGCCCCTCGCCACCCTCCGAGAGGTTCCACAGCGATGGTGTCGGGGGTCAAATGATGCTTGCGCCAATACAGATTGCAGGCACTGGCGATGGTCATACACTTGGCCATGGGATTGAAGCCAGCCTGCTGTTCAAATTCTTGCTGAAAGGCTTCACACCCTGCTTTCAAGAGAGCCACATCCGACTTGCAATAGTCAATCATTTCTTGCTTGAAATGGAAGGGCACGTTCCGACGGACTTGATCTGCATGCCAACGGGTCAGTTCGTCTTTCTTTTTGGCCATCATGCCGTCGGGATCGTAAAATTCCAAATCGGGGATGTGGCCCACATACTGTTGGTGGTCGGGGGTATTGAACAAATGGGGAAAGAATCCCTTCTTTAATTCGGTCAAATTGAAGGTGCTGGGAAAGGAGGCCAGCGGCATGGGCAAGAAACACAACGAGTCAATGAATTTGATAGGTCCACTCCTGAAAGACAGGACTTTGGCTCCCACGGTCAGTTGGTCCACGACCTCGCGTTGTTGCTGGTAGAGTTCATGGAGAATAAACATGCCATCAAACCCTTTCAAATTGTGAAACACCACGAGAATCTCCCGCTCCTCCTCACGGTCCGGAACGTCCGTGAGATCATCCAAATCGTGCAAAAATTGTAGGGCACAGTCCTCCCCGTCCAATACATGAATGGTCGTTTCTGCACTCGATGAATAACATAACAAATTGGCTACAAACACGCCTTCCGCATTCTGCATGGCTTCAAAATCCGCGTAAACAAACAGGGGAGGGGGTGGCGCCACCATGCTACCTCCCCCCTCCTCTGTTGGTTCGGACTCCTCGCGTTCCACCACAGGCTGAATGTAACACTTGTGGTCCTGGATGGGCACCCATTCCTGACAGGCGAGGCATTTGGCGTACCCGCACTGGTGACGTTTGTTGGGGACGAAAGTGTATTGGGCTTGACACTTGCGACAGTTTTTGATGGATTGACATTGCCGGCTGACCACATGATGTTGCATACAATGGATACCATAAAACTTGCGGTGACACGGTCTGCCATACTCGGTGGGACGGGTGCCCCGCACATAATCCGGACAATCAAAGCGCCCACACGCGGAGCAGCGTCTCCCTTGACAAGTGTGATTGGTCCGATCGTTGGTGTTGAACCCCCGTTCACAGTCCACACAATAATACGAACGGTTGACAAACGCAGGAAAGGACGTGCAGCCATCAAAATGATCGTTGGATTTCAGTAAACGAATCTGATGAGGGGCGGCGGGGCCTTTGAACATCAAAAAGAACGGTTTCATCCGGGTCATCACCAAGAGTTGATATTGAGAGCCCAACGCTTGTTGAAATTGGCGAAGCTCGGGTAAACCACAGGGACCCTCAGCGACTCCCGCTTGCTGATGTAAGGCCTGGGCTTGACGTTGCTGCACAGGAAGACCACGTTTGAGATTCTCCCAGTCGCGAAACCCGTCCACGCCTTGATCTTTATGGCAATGGGCTCGCATGGTGACAATGGCGCGGGCACAGCATAAGGCATCTCTGTTTCGAATGGGGATGATGCATTTCTTTTTCTTATTGACTCGATCCAAACATAAACGTCCCGCATTGCGTTGTTTATGTCGACCGGACCCTCGGCCAGGCATGGATACAAACACCACATCCACTTGGAACCCACGATCGGGGTTGAAGGCTTCATTGCTATTCAACTTGCCTGCCAACGTGGCTAACATCTCATCCAAACGAGCAGTGCGTGGTAAAAATTCCCCCACAGTGAAATTGGCTGTTTGATAAGCGTGGGTGAACCCGTGAGCTGTAATGGCAAAATTGACAAAACGATGGGCGGGTCGCTGCTCTCGGTCGAGTTCCGTCTCGATGGCTTGGTGTAACGCTTCCGTTAACGCCAGACCAATATTATCCCCAGCCACAGGATCCCTCAATTGACGCAATTGCGCGTTGAATTGTGCCCGCTCCACCACGTCACGTCAGCGGCGTCGTCGACCAATGGGTTGCATAGTGAATTGGAAGAGAGGGCCTCGGGCGGCAGCGGCGCCTCCCAACTGTTCCCACCGGTCATAGGCGCGGTTCAACAGAGCATCCTCCTCCTCGTCACTGACAGGATACCAGTGGTTCTCCGCCATGACGGAGAAAAAACAATTTGAATTTCCCGCGCCAGACGCTGGCTTTTATAGACCCAAAAACGCGTGATCACACACGAGCTGGGATTGGTGGACTAGGCTCAGGTGAGAGTCAGGTGAGAGTCAGGTGAGGGGTTGATTTGACAAGAGGAGGATTGAGGGGGGTGCCCCCCATGGGTACAGATTTCTCGAGTCTCCTCTGAGCCTGGATCGAGTTCGGTGATTGGCGGAGGGAGCCCTAGATATAGTCCATCATCCAGGACCGTGGTCAGTGTGGTTCGAGAATGCCCAATAGAGATCCCGAGAAGGTGAAACAGGCCAAGCGCAGGTGGTATGTGAAAAACAAGGAAGAGATTTCGAAACGGAAACGTGAGCAGCGGGCGGCTCAGAAAAAACTCAAACCACCCAAACCACCCAAACCACCCCCGACACCAGAGGAGATTGCGAGAGCCCGAGAGTTGAACCGGTTGGCTTGTAACCGTTACCGAGCTACGCATTCGGCCCAAGTGCGTGCTCTGAACCGCGACTATTACCATCGACACCGTGATCGGATTGTGCAGCAGCAGCGGGACCGTCGTGCACGGGTTCGGCAGACTCCCAATCCTTTCCGAAAGTTGCGTGCGTTGGCGGACGTGTGTGCTGCCCGATTGTTAGAGCTGGATCATGGATATGCCAGGATTGCGCCAGCCCCCCAAGAAAAAACGGGACCCTGAGAAAAACAAACAAAATCAAAAACTGTATCGGCAGCGCCAGTACGCGGCCCTGAATGGGATCGAGGATGTGAAGACCGTGCACCGTCGACGCTACCACGAATGCATGGCCCGTATGAGAGCCAATGGGGAGTACGAGGCCTTCAAGGCCAAAAAGACAAAAGAGGGCATGCGACGCTACCATGCCATGACCGAGGAGCAGCGGAACGAGGTCAAACGCAAAAACGCCCAGTGTCAAAAAAACTGGATGCAAAAAATGAAGGACAAGGGGACTTATGAGGCTTACAAGCAGCGATTGAATGCGCGGCGGCGAGAGATAGCGACCGAGAAAAAGCGTGTGTTGGGCGTCGAAGGGTGGAAGGCTCTGCAGAAACAGAGATACGAGAAGCGGGTGGAATCGATTCGGCATCGAGAATGGCATTGGTTGGATGAGGCATTGGAGCGTCCCTTTCCCTTACCGTGGCTGCCCTTGGACTGGGCCGAGTCCGAGCCTGAGGAGGAGGACAGGGTACAAACCCTTCGCGCCGAGGCATTACAGCAAATGGACATGTACTTGTAAGAACAAAAATGAGGTTTAATTAAAACATGTGTACTGTGCCATTGAACAAGGTTGTCTTTTTTATGACTAAGGGGTTCACATGCCCAATCGGAGTTTGGTTTTCATAATGCGTCTAACAATGCGTTCCGTCAGGGATTTGCTGCCAGGGAGTTGATCAATCTTGGCAATCATCTTGCGATCCGCCGCCCATTTATCTTTCAAATTCTTGGCTTTATCATAGTCGATGTCATGCGCTTTAGCAATCCTGTCCAACCGGTTGATGCCGGGATCCCCACGGGCCAATCATTTTTTCAAATGGGTGCCAGGTCCCATGTACTGATAGCCGGGCCAATGAAATTCAATACCCGTCTTGTTGAGGAGGTTTTGCACATCAAATAACTTGCCTCCACGTTGCGAGCGTCGTCGCCTCGGTCGGGAACGGGGCGCAGCACGGCGTCTACGAGTCCGTCCCATTTTACGGGGTTTTCCACGTTTTCCACTCCAAGGCTTTCTTGGCCAGACCTGCGGCTTTCTTTTTGGCGACACCCGCGGCTTTTTTGCGAATCCCGCGCTTCAACGTTTTCTTGATGGTGTCCACATGTTCTTTGGGGGTATCCCAAGGCTCTATTCCACCTTCTTCTGAAAAGGGCAACTCGTGCGCCAACTCGGCACTGCTCAACGGGGTCGTGAACTTGAGTTTCTTTTTGGCACTGGGAGTGATGTTCGGTTTGGGCGGGACAGGTGGTTTTCTGGGTCCACGAGTAGGGGTGCCTTGTTTTATACCCTGGGTGGCCTTGACCAATTGCGTGAACCACGCTTGCATCGGGCCCGCCTCAAAATCATCATCGCCCGGGGTCGTGGCCCCTGCTGCACTCACACCTCCGGTCGGAGCTCCAAACGGTTGGCGCACTTTTTTGGTCCAATGGCGTAATTGACGGCTCACGGCTTTGAGTTGAGGCCGTTTCCAAGCATCGGGGGCATCGCTGGTCAGGAGCACATGTTTGGCGGCTAAATTGGCGGCTTTCGTCAAGCGGGTATCTTCCACCAATTCTTGTTTGTACTGGTCTCGTAATTGTAAAAAAGCCGGGGCGTTGTCCACCGTGGTGCTCACCATCTCGGGTTCCATGGTGCAACTGAGGGGTCTTGTCTAGCGCATGCAACGTTTATAACATCGGTAGAGTTCAGGCCAGAGGGCGCCCCCTTTTTGAGCCATCATGATGGCGCGTCGTCGTTTGACGGAATGGGCGGGTTTGGCCATGGCGCGTAAACTCTGGGCGTGGGGTTTGAGCAACGTAATGGTGTGTCGGGAACGGGGCACCGTGCCACGGAGGGTGTTCATCACCAATTCACTGATGGCATTGATCTGATCCGCATTGGCCATCCGCAACAATTCTTGTCGTTTGTGTTGATTGGCTTCTTGTAAGACACTTTTTAAGAACGGGGCTTGACGTTCCATGCGCCACTCCATGATGAATCTTGAGTTCAGGCAACGACCAAGGTCTATTTATGGTAAAAATGGCTCCACACCTACCACACAATTCGCCATGATAATGCGTTTGCATGTGATCTCGACACCGTGAACACAAGGCCGCTTCATACTGTTTGTCCCAGTCCAAAGCAAACGTGACGGCTTTTCTTTTCTTGGTCACTTTAGCGTCGGCGCGCCTGCCGTTTCTTCTTCTTGAACGCCCAAGGCGAGAGAGCCACTGCCAACATGGGGAGCACGCCTACACGTTGCAATCCACGTCGTCGGCGTCGTATTCGGGGGACATAACGATGTCGGCGTCCGTTGGATCCACGGACCATCCTCCAACTAACTCTTGTCCAAGTCCACCCAGGTCTTTTTATACGTTTTTTCACATAAGGGAACAATTAAACGATTCCCCTCCATAGGATTTCCGTTTGCCTGACATATAATCACGCCAACGTTTATCTGATATTTTCTTGGCTTGCTTTTGTTGATGCTCTCCTAGGGCTTTGGTGATCCCATAGCCGGCTTTGCCAATCCCCACAATGAGAGCTGGCGAGACACCCCCCACTTGACCACGCCGTGGTCGTTTGGCGGGTGGGCGACGTCGAGTCGTGGTGCGTTTGCGTTTGCGCCTAGGGGCCATCGCGTTTCGACATCGGCCACACATTTGGGGACGGTGGAAGGGAGGCAGCTGTTTTTATATCCTTTGTTCACGGGCGTCGGCCCCGTCCGCGTGCTCGGCCACGGCCGCGGCCCCGTCCTCGACGTGGTGGTCTGGGTGGACTTGGACTGGAGGTTCGGGTGGACGTGCGACGCACCGAAGGTCGCCCTCCCCCATCTTCGTAGACCGTGGTGACTGTATTGGTGTGCGTGATGTTGCGAATACGTCTGCCCCGAGCCCGTTGTTGAGCATCTTCATTGAGCAAATCCAACCGTCGCCTTAATCCCCGCCGTCGATCGTCGTCATCATCATCGCCATCCTCGTCCTCGGACGGAGGGGACGAATCGGGGGACGGTGGGGAGGGCACACGGGGACGTCGTCGCGGTTGTTTGGCAGCAATGGTGGGGCGTCCAGTGGGGGTCGTCACCGTCGAGGTAGTGGTCCTGGTCCCTGCTCCAGCGCTGCGGCGAGCGGTGAGGGGGCGTGAGGGAGCGGTGGTGGTCGTGGCAGTGGTGGCGGGGCGTGTTCGGGTGGAGGTCACGGGTCGTGGTCGGCTGGTGGTAGTGGTGGGGCGTGTTCGGGTGGACGTGGTAGGACGGGTTTGGGTGGACGTGGTGGTGATGGGGGCGGTGGTGATGGTGGGTGGCGGTGCCGTGGTGGCGGGGGCGGTGCCAGTGCCCGCCACGGGCGGTAAGGTGAACGCATTCAAGGCATCGTCTACATTGACCGGGTAGGTCAAATTGAAATCGTCAATGTCTTGCTCCAATTGGGCACGATCCACGGGTCGAGACAATTCGGTCACCATGTCCGTCATGCTGCTGATATCCATGGAGGGTGGTGGAGCCGTGGGGGAGCCCACACCCGCGGGCGAGAGGGTCGGCGTGTCCATGCGAGCCGCTAAATCAGTATGTTGTCCGCCTTCTCTTTGTCGACGGACCCTGGCGAGTTCTCGTTGCAGTTCGTTTTCGAACGGCTGCGACATCCGCACGCAAGGTGTGGACTTGCGCCTTGCCTTCTCGAGGCGTTAAATGACTCCACAGGCGGTAGCGATCATCCGACGCAGGATGTACATCCAACATCAAATAGCCAAAGGGGCGGGACGTGATGCGTTTAAATAGGCGCAAGACTTGACGCCACCGGTCAGGAAAGGCTTGCAATAAAATCGTCCGTATCCCTGTTTGATCCCGGGGGTTTTTGAACGCCACAATGTAATGCGCGTTGCGATTGATGGTCTTGGAAAATTTGCCAGGCGGGAATAAATCTTGCGTCAAATACAGCACCGTGATGTTGCGATGATGCGAATCTTTGGTGAACAAATCCAACACGCGCTTGTCTTGTCCCCCTTCTTCCATCAGGTCGTCCAAGACCAGCACCCCTCCGCGCGTCCGACCAAACCATTGCGTCAAATGACGGGGGTCCGGTAACCCGCGATGAAACTGAATCTCATCCTTTTTTTGAATACGATCGAACCGGGGTTGCCAACGATCATAGGCATACACAATCTTGTGGGGTTTGACTTGAAAGACGTTCAGGTACCGTAACCATTGTTCCACCAATTCGCTCTTGCCACTGCCCGACGGGCCCGCGATGATCACACTACTGGGTTGTCGGATCATGATTCCCACGGTCGAGGGTGACGTCGATAATGACCAGTGGGCCCTTTGGCACCCATGCGTTTATACCGTTTGTCGCGTCCCAATTTGTCGCCAATTTTATACGCTTTGGCCAATACGCTCATGATCCCGCGCCCGTTTTGGCGAAAGCAGGGTCGTCGGGTGGAGGCGCGCTGTCGTTGTCTGCGAGGGGGCATGCCGTCCAATATTCGCGGTATAAGCGGGGGGACTCGGACTGAATCAGGCCTTCCATGGTCTCTCTTAAATACGTTTCGCTCATGCTGTCCATGTAATGCTTGAGGGAGACCCAATCTTGGTCTTGCGCCAATTGTCGGGCCATTAACCAATGATACCCATACCAGGCATCGATGCCACGCACCGTGTTGACCCGCTCGATCGGGTTGGACCACCAATACAAGGTTTCTTCGAGAATGAACGCATCCACGACGCGCTGCACATCGCCTCGCGTAATCATGATGAGACAAATGACCTCTCATGCACAGAACATGTCGTTTTTATTGATCAACACTTGTTACAAAGCATAAAGGCCTGGCCGCTCACATTCTTTTGCCCGTTGGGTCGGGCATCGACTTCATCTTGTAATTCCTGTTTAATCACCCGTTTCAACTGTTCGGCCACTTTTTGATCATTCAACACTAAATTGTCTCAACTCCATTGACTTAAAAATTCTTGATACGACCGTCCTTCTGCACGGGCTTTCAAGAAAAATAAAGCATAATGGCCACAGGTTTGACTATCCAGGGCCTGCAGGGTCTGTTCACTGCGCGTCAGGTACTTCCATTGACCCCACCATTGGTGCAACTCCGGGTTGGTGTACACGTGCAGGGGTAGACCATAACTGTCAAAAATCTCGCACTTGTTCTTTTCCGTCCACAGGCCCAGCCAATGCTGTCCCGGTTCTCCCGCAGGATCCGTGTTGACAATGTACGCTTGACGGAAACTCATGGCGGGGATACACCCCATGAAACACGCGTCGTAAGGTGGGATCCTCCAGGGCCAGGGTCCGCAACACGGTATCACTGAGCGCCACAAACTCCATGACCGGTGTCTTCTGTCTTCTGAGGCTACCTCAACCGTTGATGTTGTACTTTATACCTCCCAGATGATTGATCTCATACATGTTTTCATACTCACTCCACACCAACACGGTGATGTTGTGATTGACGGCAGCCGTGAAATCAATAATCAGTCGCACATTGCCCGATTGACGGGGGTTGCGATACTGGGGGTCATCTGCTTTTCCACTGGGCACATTGTTAAACATGAACAACGTGCAGTTCTTGCCTTGTCCCCAATCACCAGGCAACAGCATAGGCATCTTATCTTCATTGTATGCCCCCATGGCTTGTAGAAATCGATCATACCCCAGTAGATCTTCATAGGCTTCTCCTCCAGTCAGTTGCAGGGTTCTGTAAGGGTATTCTTCTCCATTCAAGGTCTGACGTACTTGGGTGACGCCAAACTTTTCAAAGGCGAAAGGGTATCTTGTTAGGTCTCCATTGAAGGTATTGGAATGCAATAACCCAACCATCACTCGATCAGGAAATCGACCCACAAACACATTGTCTTGTTCCCACTGGGTGGTGCGACCATCGAAGGAAAACGTGCGAATTTCGCTCCGCACGACTGGGTAGCGGGCAATCTGTTTGCCCAGCTGTCTTTCTTTCTGCAGCCTGACATAGACGCTGGCATTCAGGGTCACTTTTCTCATCAGCAAGGTGACTTTGATGTCTTCATTTGGGATGGCTGGAAATTTCTTGTCATTCAAGGTTCCTTTGTTAGGGGTGCCCATCAGGTAGACAGAGTTGGGGTTGAGGAAGAGTTCAAAGTCCATCTGGACATTGGGGACCAACAATTTGCCTGTCTTGAGGGGTGGCAAATGGGGGCGAATGATGAAGGTGTGCCAATGTTCACCCAGCAACCGGCTGGTCAGGGCTCGCAACTCTTCATTTCCACTCCAATCAGCGCCAGTGGGCACATCTGAATTGGCTCCTGTGGCTCCCATTTCTGCAATCACATTCAGCTGATTGACCCATCCTTGCAGGGCTAGCTTGGTGGTTCCTTCGTCTCGGGTGTAATTCAGCAGGGTTTCTAGGTAGGCTCTGTAATGGTAGGTGTTGCTCTGTTCCGTCATGAGGACCCCATTCATGCTCAGGGTGATATCTCGAAAGATGGTGTGCCCAAAATTGTTGACGCAGTAGGTGTTTCTGGTATTGTTGGCATCGGAGACGGCCAGATTGGCCACCAACCCATTGTACCCACCTGCTGGATCTGTCAGGCGCACTTTGACTTTGAATAGGAGGGAATTGGTATCGTAATAATCGTCGGAGCCTGGAATGGAGAAGGTGATGTGCTGAATGCCTGTCAGGGCAGGTTGAAACTCCACCTCCCGAGAGGCTTCGTACCGATAATCCACATCGGGCACGTCAAACAGTTGGAGTGACATGTTGCTGTCTGTCTAAGACGTTTTTCAACGTCGTCCCCTTTTTATACCCTTTCGCCTACGTTGCCTCCTGGCTTTGGCTTGGTTGGCCCACAACACCTTTCTGAGATCCCCCTGGCCAAAAATCGTGCGCCCTTTCATACGGCGTAGGGCCTGCCTCACCCTCCAGGGTTCGGGGTTGATCCGGTTCGACGCAGATGGGAACCTCAAAGGATTGTTATGCATGCGGGTGGACTTGCCAAAAATTGTCCCCCCTTTCATCTTGCGCTGTAGGTGTTGATCCAACAGGCGGGAGGACGTGTACATCAGGGGATAGCGCGCCATGGTCGACTTGCCAAAGATCGTACCCCCCACTTGATACGGCGAAATGAACCGTCCACGGGCGCGTTGCCGTCGAATACGATTTTGCGTTTTCAGAAAGCCTCCTACACGTACCATTTTTACGGTCCAAAGATGTCCCGTACACGTTGCGCGACTCTTTTATAGGTATTTTGGGCAGTCCGTTTGGCCTTGTGTTTGCCAGCCGTCCAAGCCATGGCAGGGGCTTTGCGTTTCAATCCGCGGCTGAGTTGCGCACTTCGATCGGCCCACGTGTCCGCAGCACTCTTTCCTCGTTGAATATCTTGGAGTCCCGCTTGAACTTGCTGCACGACCAGAGGGCCCGCTAGTTTGATCAAATCTTCGGCCAAGCCTTTACCTTCTTGCTTGGTGAGCACGGGCGTGTGGTACCGCGTTAAACTACCTCCGCGCATTGTCGGTTCACGTCGTGGTGCTTTTTGGACCCTCGAAAGACGTGGGTGGCTTTTTATAGCTGTTTGAGACCAATGGTCACCAGGGTTTTGCCAGGGGGTAAGATGGCCAGGGGTCCACTGGTACTCGCAATCTCCACTTCCAAGATATCCAATTGTTGGCCTCGTAGTTTGATCCATTGGTGGTGCAAGGGTTCTGCCGTACTTTCCCCATCCCCAGTTCTCAACAATTGCACTTCCCGTAACAGGGGATACTTGCCACTGCCCACCACGGTGGATTCCACGAGATCCGAATAGACCATGACGGTACGTTTGCGAGTCCCCTCTATCTTTTCAAACGAGGCATCCAGGTTGTTCAATTGCCATTCCACTATCAAGGACAATTGCAAAAACTTCACACCCTGATGGGTCACCACTTGCATGGGATCATGTTCAATATTGGCCACAATATTGCCAAACAGTAAGGCAGGACTGACGCCCATGTACTGCACACCTTCCCAGTTGTAGGGCGTGCGATCGGAGATCCCTTTGAGTCGAGTGTCCGAATCATAGGTGGACGTCGGCAGAGTATATTGCAGATTGGGCCCTAGGAAATACTTTGTCGCGTTGTTGACTTTCTTTTCCTCCACCAACCCAAACTTGAGCGCAATGTCCAGGTTGATGAAAAACTCAGTGATGGCGGTCTTGTTCTCTTTAATCAAATCCGTTCGGGGAAGGGCCTTAATCACCAAGGCACCTTTTTTCCAGGTCAGTCGGGGCATGGCGTTTTGTTTGGCGCTGACAATAGGTTTTTGGTCAGGTTCGGCGACCAGCCACCGCATTTGTTCCGCCATCACATTGTGCATGATTTTGTTGTGCATTTCTTGTATCACGCGTTTCCAAAACTGAGTCCCCGTTGACACGATTTGATTCGCATTCATGATCTCTTCCAATTCCAACACGCAGTCCGCGGGTTTCACCTCGGCGAATCGGTACATCCCAGTCACCCATTTGCGGATCACATAGTTCATTTTGAATTTGATCACTTTGGTATGAGGATCCGCGGCAACGACGGCATTGCTCTGGCCTTGATCCGGGACGGTCAGGGACAACAACGAGGCATGCCAACCCTCGCCCGGTAAGCTAAGGCGTTCGGGCAGTCGGACCTTGAAACTGTTGTTGGCATTGTTCGGAAACTCGTCGGTCGGATCGCTGATGAGTGTCAAGCGTTTAATCTCACTCATGCTGATAAACAAGAGGCGCGTCCCAGAGGGTACAAGGTCCTTTTATAGCCACTGGTCCACTTTCTGTTTACTGCGAGGGACGCGTCCCACCAACGAATTGAAGGTCGATTATTTGGGATGAAAACACACTTGCTGGGCAATGTTGGGAAAGGCCCGGGCCAGTTCCATCAGGGTCATGCAGGTCTTTTGTTTAGGGGGTTTCTTCTTGCGCATAGGTGGATGACGACCGGCGCGTCGGCGTTGTTTTTTCTTGGGTGGGGACCGTAGGGCACCCCGTTTCTTGGTATACTCTTCGGCTCGATGGTAGGCATTGGCGTAGGCCCATTGCTGCTTAGTGGGGCTGGCCAACTTTTCCCACCACGGTTGGGTTTGCCGTTGTTCAGCGGCTTTCTTCTGGATGAAGTTCATAATGTCCGCGTCCGTGGTGGGGGGTGGCGTGTAACTGGCCCGCGGACGGCTGGAATCCGCCAGGACTTCATCGAGAAACCGCACCCGCTTTTTTCTTTTTCGAGGCGTTATTTTGACGCGGACCATGTTGCGCGGGAATCCAACTATCGTACTTGGCAG